TTGTGTACCTAAGTCTGAACTAAATTAAGACACACAAAGAAATCTGCGGTAAAAGAAAAACGAGGTGTGACGATGATAATCATCCCCAACACTTTTTTACCCCCGAATAGATTTTTATAACGTCCGAAAATAGAAGGCCCTTGAGATCATAATGCGATTATATAGGGCCAAATCCACATATGAGGGGACAATAAAATAAAACGAAAAAAACAAGCTTTCAGTTGTAGCATCCAGGGACATAATATGTATTTTTTCTTTTAGCGAGGATTTGTGCAGTGTTTTTAAAATCATTGACGTTCGATACCGTTTATTCTCAGTCGAAGTATTTTTAAAAAATCTTCATCGTTTGGAATAATTTTTACTAACCCAAACAATACATAAACTGGATGTGTCAGAAATAGTTTTCGACAAAAATTGGTATTTTTGTCCCCTAAATTAAGTTTCGGCACGCCACTGAGTCGTCTAAAAGAACTGGACAAATATTAGGGCAATTTCAGTTATGGAAGAAATATATTTCTGGCCCCTAGCGTCCTTTTCAATCTAGCCTTCTATTTTCGGATAATATTTATATGATTCATTATTTCTTTTTGCGCACGTAGTTTTTATTGCGTTCAATTTTCTTCTGTGCTATTTACTTTACTTATTACAGAGAAAATTCATGCAAATAATAATTATGGGGGATAAGACATAGAAATAAATAAAGGCGTATATGAACCATATAAAATTGTAGGGAATGAACAGCTTCAAGAATACAGTAAAGCCCCATCAACTCCAAACATTAAAGAGAGAAATCACCTTTTCACATCGACATAAAAATTTTAAACTGTTTTTTATCCTAATATACCCCCAATGGCAAATCTCTTTTATCGACAAATAAAGGTAAATCTTAAAATTTCCACGGGGAAAGCGAAATTTCTTGATCGCACTCCGTTACTTTTGACTTTATTCATCCTCAGGGGCCCTTGTCCCATATACGTGGAATTGTAATTTCCGCCTTTTTGCTTTGAGGCACGGTCTCAAGTTTTCCCGCGGGGCGGAACTATTTCAATACAAACCTTTACGCCCGATATATGCCCCTTTTTGCATTATATCTTTTCCGTCTTATTGAACATAATAGTTTTTTGTCGGGACCAGACATATTGAAACGATAACCTCAACTACGCTTTTAACAATGACTGCCTTCATTGAATAATTTTTCCTCACTAACAAGTAAATTCAAAGGCTCTTTATCATGATTCCAAAGAGAGATTTTCGATGGGGAACTCTCCTTTTTTCTTTGGCATCAATTCTCATTACTTTTGCTTCTCCATATTCATCTTTTTCAGTGTTTTTGCCAACTTACAAGTCATCAACGGTAATTCTCCAAATCTGTTGAAAATCAATCAGTACGATATCGTATATGACAATCGTTTAGGTTACTTAGATCGAGTATAAGTGGGCCTATTACGGCAGTCCACTGCGACTCATTGGTCTATTGTGGCTCATGTCTATTTAGATTTCTCCATGTCCAAACCACTAAGTCGAAGTCCAGGATATTGGTTGGTGTTTTAGCCTACAGTGTCCAGTGTATAAGCCGATTAGGGTTTTCAGCTTAGTTCTGCCGATCACCAGTATCCTTCCAACCGAGCATTCTTTCACTGGTTGTCGTATGATGGCCTTCTGCTTCTGTCCTTGTGTAGGCTTTGTTGTCCGTCCAGGTTTCAATGTTTGGATTAGCCATGTTATGGGCAATGCCTTGCACTATAGCTCTAGCCCTGTGAACTTAGTTTCGCCTTCCCCCTTGGCAAGGAGATCCGCCATTTCGTTACCCTCATGGCTCGCGTATCCCGGTAGGTATATCCACGTAAGGGTTACCTTGTTGTCCTTCCCGAATTTTCTTAGAGCTTCCTGACAGCTCCAGACTGTTCTTGAATTACAGTAGGTGGAGGTAAGCGCCTTGTCGTTTGCGTTCATATCTATAATTTATATCAGTCTAGCTTCTTGAATACATCCTCCATTGCCAGCGTGAAAAGTTTCGATTATTTTACATCTCCCTATCTGACTTATCTGGAATAAGATTGGAGTTTTGTCGTAGCTGTACTGTGAACGTGACAGGTGAGTCAATTCGAAAGTTGTTCATTCCATGTCCTATAGCTCAAGGCTGTTGAATGCCTTCTCATATTCTACGAAAGCGAGCTAAAGAGGGAGAGATGTATCAATTGCTATGCAAATTTTCAAGGTAAGGAGATGGTCAGAAGTACTAGAACCATGGCGGAGCCTGTTAAATGATTTGGTTGCTGTTTATATGATAACTCTTGTTTGATGATGATTTTTATCAACATATGTGGGATTATAACAAGATGGTACGGTCGTTTCTGATTTCAGTCCTAGAATCTTTTCTGAGGAGCAGAACTACGGTGATATGTAATTCCATTTCTCTAGTATTTTCGCACTTTTTCCGCATGGGTGAAATCTTCAGTGTTGCAAGGATAACCTCCTCTTCCTCGATCATTAATCCAGCTGTCACTTTATCTAGTAGTGACTCCTATTTTTCAGAATTTCAGAATATCTTCACAACCAGATTTTTTTATTTTTCGCTGGTTATCTATTTATGTTTCTACGTCGACATCTTGATTTGAGCTGTACTTATAGGTCACGATAGAAGGTCTCCATAGCTGAAGAGACTTTATTTTTATTGATTTTTCTTCTGTTCCTTCTTCATTTTCTATGGCTCTTTCTATCATAGCTTCGTTGTTTTTCTTTATGTCTTCCTTGAGAGTTATTTGTATCATTTCTTTATTATATTATTTCATTGATTTATCTTTATTCCGTTGAATTTCGTTTCCTATCGCGTTCTTTCCCGCCTCTGTAGTTATGCTTATCTATCATTAATTTTGTTTATGTCGTCTACTTCTAATTCTTATTTGCTGCGTTCGGTTTTTACGTCTGATCTATCTTTTCGATTTGAATCGTTAGTTTATTGCATCTAAATGTAGGGGAGGCATATTTAAACAGTTTGGTAATCCGCTTAGACCAAAAGCAGACCTGTTAGTTCCTGGGCAAAAATCCTAATAGGCAATCTCTTCCGTTTCACTTGATAATGGAGAAATTTGCAACTTACCAAAACATAGTGTGGCTCAGTACAGACAGGATCAGGTTACTAGACACATACGCTTCGATGGGACCAGTTGACTGCGGAATCGTTACGGTAGATTATTGATCATCCCTGCGTGCATAATCAGCTATACTCCCGGCTTCGGCAGCACATTTTCGATTTACCTAAACAGGGTTAAAGCTAATTCGTCTTATCACTTCCTATGTGTCTAGTACGTTGGTCCGGTCTGTATATACAAAGACAAAACTGATGTTTCAAATACCAGTTTCATCCAAAACAAAACGCTGTTTATACAGCCTTTAAAATACTTTAGGATAAGGGATAAGGGAGCCATACCTCAGTGGCCATAAATTTTGAAGGAGTATCATGTCGTCTTCATCGTCAGGCTACCGCAAAATTTGAATAGAAAACTTTTTGACTTCTACCGTTGTTGGGATCATTCGTAAGACGCCTAGCAACATCATAAAATATAGATTGTTACTATTGTAAAATAAGTAATTTTTTTATTGAAAATGGCCTCCTAATTTCTAAATGGTACATAATGTATACTTAATTGAATCTTGCTGAATATAGACAAAAGAAAAAATAATCCTGGTTAATTAAGAATGAATGTATCAGGACTAGATATCTAAGTAAGAAGATGGACTCTGGAGGTTCCATTGTCTTTCAAGCAATAGGAAATCCCAAGACGCTATAGACTATAAAGTTCCCCCAAAAAAAATCCTAGGAAAAAAGGTAAATTGTGTCAATACCAAGTAACGTCCGTACCTAAAGATGATTTACAGTAAAACGTGAAGAGCCACGTAAGAAAAAAACCATCAGTTTTATGACAGGGGACGCAAATAAAAGACAAAACGGTCAAACAAGCAACTGGGCCGAGCTCCGGAAGCTTTTCGGTGTCCCCGGATTTAAAGTGCCCCGGGGGATGTTCGACTCATTAGCTGGACGAAGATGGCACGTCCGGCGACCGTAAAAGCGGACATTCGCGGCTACTAAGTCAGCATTCTATCGAAGAGCAACCATCAACGTTGGGACGTGTGCCATTATGTCTGACGCGTTATACTACTTTTATTTAGATTGGATTTTAGTTTATTGGGAAATCACAGGAAATGTTTGACCCGGTCAAAAAAATTTAGTCAAAACATAAAATGTGTATCATACTTTCCGCAGTAATCGCTTTCATGGAGAACAAGCTCCAAATTAATATATAGATTCAAAGCGTTAATTATTGTCCTTGATGTGCTTGTCTTGTCCGCAGTAATCAATTCACAATTAGAACTAAGACTCATATCAATCAGAATATTTTATGATTTCCTCAAACACCCATTTTTTTCCTCTCGGGTTTGAGAAATTGAGGCGAAAACGCGCCTAAAACAATCATACACTTATATATGTTTTAACACCTTTTTTTGGATATATCCGCAACGGACATTCCAAGACATTGGAGACTGACAGGAGAGCGTTTTCTTTTAGCCCAGGATAACCTAATAACGGCTTTTGAGGGGGGCTAGCAGTCTCAGGGGGCCGTTGCCCCCGTTTCAAGTAGCACAAGCCAATTTCTGCCAATTTGAGCAAAGTTCTCGTTGTAATTTTGTTTTCACACGCTGGCCCTTCTGTGTTAAATTGGGTGGACCAGCGCGATGAAAGGAAATCATTATTTTGGTCTCAAAAAGACTTGTTTCAACACTTAAAGGTTGTCGTTTGATTGTGTAGTAAACATATTTTGATATCATTTTATACGTATTTAAGGAGGCTGTTTCTTTTGCCAATTTGCACTTATTTATATCCTCCATTGATGCTTCAACTGTTGGCTTGTTTGAAATGATTTTTTTACAATGTTCTAATGACTTCATTCTGGATGTGGTTTAATATTTACTTGTTTAACCAAATTTTTCTTTCTTTTCAGTATTTTGGAGTTGAGGAAAGAAAAAAGTAGAGATGCAGCCAGATCGAGAAGAGGGAAAGAAAACTACGAGTTCTACGAACTGGCTAAAATGCTACCTTTACCGGCCGCCATAACTTCACAATTAGATAAGGCTAGTATCATTCGACTGACGATTTCGTATCTTAAATTAAGAGACTTCTCTGGTCACGGGGATCCTCCATGGAGCAGAGATGGACCACCTCCTTCAAAAACGTTGAAAGGTAAGCTGAACATTGAATAGTCCCTAAATCGAATTTAACTTTCTAACCGAGAAATAAATCCATATAGCCATCTGCGCCCCGTGAAAGGTCCAGAGGCTAATTAGATTAGACTCGGGAACAAAAGAAATACTGACCGCTGACTGCAGGCAATTGTTTGGAGAACTCTCGGTTTACTTGATTTTCTGCTGGTTCCGTTTCTTATTATCCAGTTAGCAGTAGGGGATTTTGACTGAGTTAAGACAAGGGAACGTAAATACCTGAATGTGCAAAACAGACAAATGCAAATTTTTCAAGCCCTAAAAGAGTGTTATAATGGTAACTTTGTCCTATCTAACAAGTTCAAGCCTGAACTATGGTCCTAGCTTAAGACAAAAAAAAGAAGTTCACATAGAAAATTTGAGTCATTATAAGTTTGGGTTCGTTATACATACCTAATATCAAATTATTTCAAAAGAGTAAACGGAAATCATTTTTTTGCAATAAAAAAAAACCAAAATGTTTATTAGAAAGTCGCACTTGTCCCGAATAAAAGTGACTCGTTTGAAACGTTATTTTTTTTAACAATCCACGTACGACACGACTGAGTTTTATAGCTAATTCTTGCGGAATCCAATCAATGAATACGAAATGTTCGTGTATACCTACAGAGGCAAAATGAGGTTACGTTCGAATGCCGCGCTGTCCCAATCTTAATTATTTTAAAGCACATTTTGAATATTAATTGTTTAGAGTTCCGTAATAACGTTTCGGATTTGTTTGTTGGGTCATTTTATTCTTTATTTCTCAGATAAGGATTTCAAGGATTACCTACGCCCTTCTGTGGTGAAATAAAAACAAAAATTATCTAGGAAAACACAGTAGTTTGTATTATTTTTGGTCATGACCAGTTTATACAATACGTATGGTTTTGGTCTATAAGACAATGGAGAAATCCGCATGCACAATCATTGAATGCTGAGCAAATTGCATACCGGTTTCGAGCCTATTAGCTCTCGCCAGTGCATTATAAGTATAGGTACCAACTCAAGCAAACAAGTTTATCGTAAACGATAGAATTTTTTCAAATTTCTGGCACTGTCGTAACCATTTTCGTTAGTGCAAAAATTAATAAAAACAATAAATGTCAGCAGTGCCACCGGCGACGGTCGGTGATTTATCAATTGTGTCATCCTTTGGCATACTAATCAGGAGGAACAGGAAGAGGCTAGAGAGGGGATATTCTCTCTACCTAAATACTATGTGACGATGGAGAACTTATAATAACTTTTCGCACATTTAATGAAGTGGGAATTATGTTTTATGACCGCGAAGATCAATATTAATTTATCTTAAAGCAGTCCATAATTTGAACTTTATTTTCGTCAACATTCGACACAGAAGTGATCCATTATGTTCCTAGGACCATGAAGATCTTTATGTGTCGGGCAAAACGGGTGTTCCGGTTAAATCTGTTTCGGATGTTTGACAGTTCAAGTGTTCAAGAACTATCCAATGTTGATCCAGTCGGTTCATACTTTGTGGTCGGGAGTAGTTGGAACGATTTGCGAACTATTAATTTTTGTTCTGACGTTGAGGTTAGATTTATTCATAAATTTCCATATTTATTTTGCTTGTGTTCTGTAATTATTATTTAGAAAGAAAGTGTTCGGGACGCCACTTCTTGGCCTAGTGACATAAATAACTATTATTTTTGTTTTTACAGTCCCGTCGGCGATTAGATTTATCCCCAATAAGATTTTTTTTTATCCAATCCAAATCTCCGAAATTCTACAGGTCTACAGTGATATTACAGCGTGTAGTTGTTAGAACTGGGTCACAAAATTCAAATTGACAAGTAACATTCTAAATATTTTGGGATTCGAGACAGTTTTTTACATTGTCTTGTAGAGAAACCTAATTATATTCTCTCCGAAAATATGAAATTTACTTTCCCGATCCAGCGTCATTTTTCTTGTGCAAACATAATTCGGATACACCAGACATTTATTAACAGTTGGTTATTTCTCCCTGACGCAGACATAATTTGATCTTCGTCAATAATATGTGTCAAGGGGGGCCCATACCAGCCTATTTAGTTGTGAATTATCTTCCTTCATAGAAACGTTTTCATATTATGAAGCGAGCAATATAACTTCTTTTGGTAAATCATTTGTAATGACTTTATTTTGGGAGATAGATTTATCATTTGGTGACCTAAATATAGTAATTTTTTCAGAATATCCATTGATTTGTGTTTATGTACCTATGTATCATACACATATTGTGTATATATAGTGGACATTAGTAATTTAAAATTAATTCAGGAGAATCTCCAAACTAACATTATTTCCCACATGTCACCGAAAGTGCGTTTCGATTGAAAATGGGTCCCTTAAATTCGCCGGCAACATCCCGTTGAACTACATGTAAATCTAATCACGACCCTCCCGTTAAATTCGGAAATCCAATTCTCTACCCTGACAGAGGAGTGATAAAATTAGCCGATGCCTATTGTAAACCAAACTTGAAAAATTTTCTACCCTCAGTTTTGTGTGTGTATTTGCGGCCAGCTTTACAAAAGTATGTCGGTTACTTTATATAAAACTATGCCCCATGTTGCATCTGTGTACGACTTTTCATATATTTTTTTTTTAATTTGCGAAACTTTGATTTATGTATCAGGTTGGTTTTCAACAAATTTGCAAGGCATATTAAGTTGTTTCACTACTAAATTATTATTCATTTGAATTTTGTGCCAAGTAGAAAAACACAACTACAAATTTCAAATAAACGATCTTCCAGTTTCGGAAAGAAAATCAGATTAAAAAACAGTGTCTCTGCCTGCCACATGCTTTGATTGAAAACTATGAGAGCTCCGGTTGGCAGGCTTTTCCACATCCGCCCTATCCTCCTCATCTTGGTCTCTCAGATTCTCATCTTTTCCGTTCTCTAACGATAGTCCGGCGACTTTTTCCTTCTCAAATCACCGTATACAGGGTGTATCAGGTTTGACTACAAAAATTTTAACACGTGAAAATATGGCCCATTTTGAACAAAAAAAGTGTAGGTACAAATTAAATGTTCACAAATCGAATAGGCAGATGTTACTTGTTAACGCAGAATTGTTACAAAATGCTCATCTAGCCGCCAGAATTTACAGGGAAAGATTTCCTAATAGGACGGCACCTAATGAAAGAACATTGTGCACGTTTTGCAAAGATCGCTTAAAATGTTAATCGGGGATCTGCAAGGTAAATGACACCTGCCAATGAAGTACAGATTTTAGTGAGAATGGAAGTTAGCCCTGGAATGAGCATTGGGAACTTTCTGCGCAGTGTATTCTGTCTTCAATAATTAGGTATGGTGATTTCAGTGCTTTGAAAACCTGGTGACAAATATTAGTATTTTCATATTCAGGATTTGCCAAGTAGCTGAGTAAGTATATTATTTAAGTTTTCTCTTGAATGTTTAGTGCAATTCACTACTAAAATCGGCACATTTTTTGAACTTTTTTTTTTAAAATTTACCTATAGTTCGTTTACATTAAATAGGTATTATCTCAGACGCCTCGGAGAATAAATATGTATCTGTAATGATAAAATATTTGTTCTCAAACTTCATACACCCAGTGCAGAATATTATTCTCCTATATTCATGATAAAAAATGCTTCAAACTTATAGACATCAATTTATAATTAATATAATTAATTAATTAATCAATTAATCGAATTAGTTATAATTTTCCAATACTTAAAATAGAAAAGTTCATAGTTTTGATGTAGGTATGTATAAAAAGTATCTATTTGAAATAGGTAATTCGGATTTCTAATTTCACCACAAATTAATTTGTAATTGAGTCATTTAACATGAATTAAAAAAAAAAAAATACTATTGCTGAAACAAAATTAAAAATTAAATAACTTCCTCCGCAAAATTAAGATACCTACTGTAAAGTAAACTCCCTCTCTGCCGGTTTTAAAGAGTTTTAAATTAGCGCCAATCAAATATTCCCGAGTTTAAAACAGGATTAGGCAGTCGGCGGTCCCGATTTTCATTTAAATATTGAAACAAAACCGCCTCCAAGCCCCTAGATCAATGTCAATTCATTAGGACCAGGTTTGTACAGTCCCAGTCTAATTTTATATAATTCGCCTCTTTCACTTAGTGTTGCCAGATGTTGATTTAGTTAGTGGGGGGAACTAACAATATAATTATGATGTATAACTTACAACAGAAACAAAAAGTAAATTATATGTTTCAGAAACAAACAACTTTTTTGTACCTTATTAGTTCAGGCAGTATTTCTACCAGATACAAAATTATAAAATTAAGACTTCCAGTTCAGCCAGGCTGACTTTTGAGTTTATTTATTCATTATTAAAATTTATAAATCATCCTGAAACAGAATCAGAAATAAGTAAATAATAATATACTCAACTGTGCCTTGACATTAGCACAACATTAGCTTTCCAAGAAAAACAACAAAAATGAATTTTTCAAGTGAAACTTCTTTCGGGACGTTGTGTTGTGAATTGGAGGTTATGAAACGAAAAATTGTAACGGAAGTTGGAAGAAACGATACAGATAAATAAAATTTGGCCTGCGAGAGAATGAAACAAAACGCACATCTCAATGTTTTACAACATGGCGTTATTGAATGATGTCAAATTCCAACGTCACTGTATTACAGATCGATGGCGACTGTTATTAGCTAAATAATAGATGGCGCCTCAATAACTAGTCAATAATTCGGAGTAAATCCTATTCAACAGTCTCGAGGTTATAATAAATGATTCGGAAAATATAAAAGCTATTCCAGAACAATTAGTTAACGTTTTCCTCCGTTGACAAATAGCTCTAGTGCAGTTCAAACCGACACTTTGGAACGAGTGTCAAATGACACAAAGGCACGATAGTTTGAAAATAGGAAAATGATACGACAATTAGAAGATAAGTTTGATAACATAAGAAGAAAATCTAAACACGGAAGCCTGAAGTCAGTACAAGTTCAGGATAAGAGCAATCAAAGAGCTCTAGGGCCGAATTTATAGTCGCTCGAGGAAACCTTGAACGTTTAGAATTGACATGACTAACTTGTCAAATAGCAGCAAGTGTCCATTCTAAACTCACGACTTCCAAGGAAGACTCAAGGAACGACTATAAATTTGGCCCATAGTCTAATCGTTAAATACCATCTCACAAACAGGGCGCTCAACAATCCTGAGACATCTTGAATCTCAGGCCTACTGGACGAAGATTCATGGTGACCAAGAAATTTGGGGTTTTCTTAGCACTACGCGTGAAATGCCCTTTGGATCTAGGTCATCTATGCGTTTAGGCTCAAAGAGAGGCCATGCGAAACATCCCTTTAAACGAATGGGATCGAAATACAACTTGAACGTATCATAGTTAATTTAATCATGGATCAAGCATGACAAGTGGCGAGGGAGCTGGAATAAATGAAGGCGGGCGTCAGAATAACTATAAAGCAAGTCTGGGCAAATTTACAATGCTCGCGTTCTTGAACAAAGACATTAAAGATATGCAAGTCGATTGAAATATTCTCAGATTGTCGGGCTCTTCAACCGCTGCTCATGAAAGTCCAGATATTAGGACATTCTTTTTCTACTTCACTGTGGATTCTATAATTATGTACAAATTCATAGAACAAGGTTCTGCCGGATATCCAATATTTTAAACACAACTCCAGCGGATTTGACTTACATATTACCTATTAAGGTTGACTTTAGTGAAAAGCTGAATCTGATGGGTGAAACGTGAAACCTAATTTATGTGTGGGCTACAATGGATCCAAATAGAGTTCACAGTGAAAAAACAGCTATTTTCTCACCGTTCAACAGAAAATAACAAAGAGTTACAATAATTATCATACCTAACCTATATAACAGTGCTATGGTACCTATTGACAAAGGTGTAGTATTTTTTTGCACTCAAATAAATTGCTAACTAATGTATCTAAGTATCTACGTGCCGGTGCCTTTTAGTGAAAGATAAATGTGAATACTTACATATTTGTAAAAGTAAATTACAATTTCGGCATACGATGCAAATATCCAGCAAAAAGCATCTGGAAAGATTCACCGCGATAAAAAAAATTCCGAGGGAGTAAATTTAGGGGTTGGTCTGGTATCTATAAACCCCCCGTATCAAGCGGCAATATTTTAGAGATGACACCGCCGGCAATTTGTAACAGATTCGGAAGCATCTTGCTCCTTGTGGAAATTTCTTTAGTCTCATATGTTACATGTTTTTCCTCCTCCACAGTGTTTATATACGGAGTTCAATAAATACCGAGCCATATATCTTGAATTGGTTAAATTAATACATCGGGGAAACATTTTTCAACTGATAGGGGGTTTTGTTCTCGAAAGCGGAAGTACAAAAGGAAAGTAGAGAGTCTACCTAAACTATAAATCAGAAGTATTTAAGGTATGGGGATTTTTGCTGAACTATATTATTCATGTTTCGATGGAAGAAATTATTTAAACAATGTGCTATTTTTTGCTGAATTAAACGAGTACTTTTCTTTTGTTTTTAGGAAGGAGATCAACAGTAGCAACCGATATTTTTGAGACACACCAAGGAACTCATATATTGCAGGTAATATTCTTTAGATATTAAATTTGTGTAATGGAATTTTAATGAGGAACACTAGACATGTGCAGTATCAAATGAGAGTTGATGGTTATTGAAGATTAGGAAAATTGACCTATTTTATAGATGAATTATAACGGTTGGTAATTTCAAGGAGCCAAACCATAAATACTTTTCCATTTTCGACAAATCTAAAGAAGTCATTCTTTACCTATTCTTATTTTTTACACGAAGTTTGCTATAGGTACTAATATATTTTTTTTTTGTTCTAGTCCTTGGATGGGTTTGCTTTAGCTGTAGCGGCAGATGGTAGATTTTTGTACATTTCTGAGACTGTTTCAATTTATCTAGGATTATCACAGGTAAAATAGACCTAATTTTTCCGTTATTGATAGCAAATTTAAAAATCCTCAAAATAGCCTTAAGGGACATTGACTTTCACCATGTAGATATTAAAAATAGGCCTTTAGTAGTAGCAATATGAAGACAGAAATTGATTCGTTCTAGTTTCTTGACCACTTTTGGAATCCAACTACTAAACTTAAACAATTAAGGTTGAAGCGACGAGAATTGGACCAATTGGCAATTTTAAAACAATAGTAAAGGCCCCTTGACTTATCCCGGAACAAAAACAAGGGCTTTGTTGTAGTACACCTGTTCAGGCTCAGTATCCTAGACCAGGGCCAAAAGTGATAACACGTAGGGCTACGTGATGCTGAGGGCGTGCTGGTCCAGGCAACGTTGGCTGGCTGGCATTTCCCGCAGTTGCAAATACCCTATTGATTACGACCCGGCATCCACATTATAAATGTGAGACACGCCGCTGCAGAGCTCTACGTGCTCGGCATTCCATTCTATCGTGCTCTTTCTTGGGGGCGGTTTAAGCCCTGGGAGGACCTGGACACGTACGCCGGCGCGCCCTGTTCGTTTCATCCATAGGCGCACTTTGACTTGGAAACATTCGTTATGGGTGCATACCATCACTCACAATTCCAACTTTTCTTACTCGCAGTTTTCTACTTAATTAATAACAATGAGAAAGACATAGGAAATAATAACTGCAAAAGATTGATTGACAGATTTCTGCACATCTATGGTCGTAACAAATATGGGTGAGTAAAGCGTTATGAATAGAAAAGCCAATCATAAACTGATAATAGACAAGCATAACAAAAACCAAAATAAGTGATTAAGGCAAATGTTCAACGAAAACTACAATACGAAAAATGAGATAATATAAAAGTACAAGAATACGAAGAGATGAATTCGAATGAACTAACAGAGAAAGGTGAAAATATGAAAAACTAAAAAACAATTTAACAATAAAAATTATCGAAGAAGCAAAAGAAGCAAAGGTCGTAACTTAACGTGAGTTATATTTTCTGATTGGTGGTAATATAGTATTTAACGAGACGTTATGCGAACTTGTCACCTTGAACCAGTAAAAATGATCGTAGCCTGGCGTATAATTTATTGGTTACTCATTTGTAAAACATAACATAAAATTAAAAAAAAAAATCGAAACTGAACCTCTTTGTTTCTTGATTTTTTTTTCGTAAATCACATTGTTTTCGAGAAAAATTGAAAAATGGCAAAATGTAATCAAATGCATGTCGAGATTCGTATGAAATTCTACTCGTTCGTCGTAGGTAGCTGGCGTTCGCAATAAACAAACAAATTTAAACTTCATATTCAATAATTAATTAACTAAAAACCTCATATCAGAATTGGCTCAAATTTAGCAAAAATATGTATTCTTGGATCGATTATCTACATTCCGAATATTTTACTTTACCGATTTTTTGCGCTTACATCTGATTGCCTATTTTACAGAGTTTAAGAAATAATGAGGTAACGAAAAAAATATTTTCGGAATGTAGATAATCGATCAAAGAATGTTTATGCCAAATTTGAGCTACTTGATGTGAGGCTTTGTTTTCTCTTTGCAGACGAATTTAAAAAAATCAACTAACCAGAGCACAAAACTGACAAATTTGAAATCTGAAGTTCTGTCATTAGCGCCCCCTTAACAGGTACAATTTCATTCGAATACCGATATGCATTCGATCATATTTTGCCATTTTTCTCGTTAACAATGTGTTTAACGAAAATAATTAAGATTTACAAATTGAATGGGTCTTGTAACAAACAGATCTATAAGCCAAAGTTTTGGGGCTCCAAAGACAGAGGGGCCCATGTCATCAAACCTCTGTGCACCAAACATAGTAATTCTTCTATAACAGGAAACTGAGAAATTTTAAAAATATGCTATTTTTAGGGGCAAATTTTAGGGGGCTGTAACTCCGAGAAGAGGGGCCATTTACCAAAAATAAAAAATACGGGTCACCTATTTTTTTTTAAGAATCTTTGAACAAATTTTGTTGCATTTGAGATTTTTCGGACACCCTATATAGGAACTAATACTTATGTATTGTATGTGGAGGAAAGCAAGAAGACAATTTTCAGAAGAAAAATAGGAATACATTCATAAATAAATAAACGATAAATTAGCAAGTATGATATTATGATATTATGAGTATGATATTATGATATGAAAGCAAATTAATTGAATATTCAAATTAAACAAAAGTAATTAGTAGGAATGACCAATTTGCCTTTTACGTATTCACGTACGCCAGGAATGCGAATATCGATCCTGGAAGTAGGAGGTCACCATTTTTTTCTGTTGCAGGTTGAAATGACTGGCAGTAGCATATTCGACTACATCCATCACCAAGACCATTCAGAAATAGCTGAACAACTAGGTTTAGGTTTAACCCAGGGCCAGAGCATGGCGTCTCCAGGTAGCGGCTCGGAGGAAAGTGGGTCTACGGCAGGGACTAATAATCCCGACGGTAAGGGTAAGGATCAACAACAACATTTTGGATTTATTTATTCAACGTATTGTTTTTGTTCCGATGTGAATGCTGTGAGTGAATCTCTCTTGCTTGGTTTCATCAAAGAACGTTTAATAATGTTTAATATTTTAGACATGAATTCACTCATTTTCAAAAATCTTGTCAGATTTCTAATCGAAATTGAAACAGTTAGGTTTGTTATGTTATAAAAAAAAACTAAATAAGGAGGCAAAAAAGTTTATGTAAATGGCATCTAGGTTAGCGTTCAGAATTTTAATAAAGTTTGGGCCAATGACGTGCGATAGTAATAACAGAGATGGATCTGAATGGTTTATGCCAGGAAAAAAATACACCCATAACACTGGGCCGACAGGAAATGGCATTTAAGCATTCAACCAACGAAGTCACTACGTGTCCAATTGTTATTCTATAGTAGTAACACACTGTCACGCTGTGGAATGCCACAATGGAAAACACAATATCAAGCAGACTTAAAAAGTTTATCGATTCATATTCGCTTAAAATCTATCAAAAAATATGATAAAATATTAATGCTTTGATGTGGCCAACTAGTGTGTGTGTGCAATTTAAGGAAAATCAAATCTAAATGTTGAAATATGAATTATTGCCCTCAACATTGTTTGGCGTTTTCCTTAAAATATTCAAAAATCTTGACACGTTATTATTTTTATAGTTTCTACTTCGATGGCCTTAGGAACAAATCCGCCTTACAAAGGACTAGATAGAGCTTTCTGTGTTAGAATGAAGTCAACATTAACTAAAAGAGGCTGCCACTTTAAATCATCAGGGTATAGGGTAAGTTATTTCAAAATTATTTATATAAGTACCCTCCAACAGTTTTTCTCATTTAATTCCAGGTTGTTTTAATGGTATGTAGATTAAGACCGCAATACGTTTTCGCACATTCACGAAAATCACAGCAGCCGCCTCTCCTTGGCTTGGTAGCTCTAGCGATAGCTCTACCTCCACCCAGCGTCCACGAAATTCGTTTAGAAAGCGACATGTTTGTAACGAGAATCAATTTTGATTTTAAAATAGCTCATTGTGAACCCAAAGTTATGGAATTGTTAGATTATACACCAGAAGAACTTACTGGTAGAAATTTGTACGCTCTGTGCCATGGAGAAGATGCTAACAAACTTAGGAAGTGTCATATAGATTGTAAGTTAATCGATTTTTTAGTTAATTAATGTTGGTTAATTTTTTATTTAAAATTTTAGTAATTAATAAAGGCCAAGTACTAACTCACTACTATAGGATAATGAATAAAAATGGAGGTTATACTTGGATACAGACATGCGCTACTGTGGTTTGTAATACCAAAAATGCTGATGAGCAAAATATAATTTGTGTAAATTACGTAGTTAGGTAAGAAATTTAAAAAAGCGATTATATTGAGATTATTAAACATGGTTTTCAGTGGTAGAGAATACGAAAATCTGATAATGGACTGTTGCCAAATGGAAGACAATTCTCATATGGTCAAACGCGAAGAAGCCAGCAGTAATGATCCAGAAAATGGTTCCCCAGATGCTGATCGAGGAGGTAAAATGTAGTTGTTTATTAGCACGCATCATATAGGTACTTACATGTGATTTTTATTCAATTTTGCCTTTTTTGACGTTAAGATGACAGAAATAGTGGAGGTCCGCCAAATCCACCATCAGACCCATCCCAAGATCTAGACGATTCAGCGAACCATGGAACTGATCCAGGAACTATCGCCAAAGATACTGGAGATTTAAGGACGCGCAGGATGGATCCGGTACCCAACGTAGCACAATTGCAAGCTGCCCCTACGCCAGTAGTAGACCAAAGAAAAAGTGCAACTCCAGTCAGGAGGGCGCAAAAAAGAAAAAATACGTCTTCAGATGAAAATGAAGAAGAAGAAGCCGTTAATCCTAATCAAAATAATACTGTGATGAGCCCTGCGAGTTCGTGTCATTCAGCTGCAGGGACGCATCCTATTGTATCCGTACCAGAACCCAAAGGAAATAGTCCTAAGAAAATTGATGAAACAGCAGGTAATATTGGAATAATAAATTCAATTATCTGGAGACATGTTTTTGGACTTGCATTATCATTTATAATAATTATTGCGATGCGACGAGTCGGCCTGTGATGAGTATCTCGAGTCATAATTTTTCTTTTCTTTAATAGAAGCTGCTTTTTGGAGTTTTGTTGTGGAATAGTTTTGTTATTCATCTATTATTTTCGTCCAGGTCCAATAATGGAGGTTGTTTTGCTTCTCTCGTACGTAGGTAAAAAAGTTAAACAAAAAAGTTGTAGGATTTTATCTCTATCATCTTTTGCACATGTCAAAACGTGCAAATCACAGGTGCCAACTGTCATAATGACAAACACTTGCATATTTTAAACGGAACACCCTGTATATTTTCAAATAGAATGATAGATTTTTTTCTTCTGATTCCATATACAGTAAGGGGCAGGCTACTAGGTATATAGGATCCAACTTGACGAATTTACGATCGTCCGCAGCCGTCTGAACACCTGTCGCTGTCGGTCCGCTGTCGTTTTTTCGATGACTTTGACGTTCATAAACCATGGTTCACATCAGTACGTTTTATGATTTTACAGACTTAAGCCCGGTCCAGACGTTACGTTACTGATACCTGATCACGTGTTGAACTGTGCAGACAAAACTTGATGCAAAACGTAGCATCTAGACCGTGCTTTTAGATGTATCGTCAAGCTTCACTTACTTATAATTATTAAACGGCTTCTATAGATAGATTTTTTTTGGAACCGAAACAATAATCTATGGAAAAAAAACATGTATTTTAAAAAAGCCATCCAGGAAAAATCTAAAAATATATTTAACATAAAAAATAGAAAAAAAATTAAGTAAAATAAAAACAAAAATTCTAGTTTTGACCCCAAAAACCTGGCTCGATTACCATTTGCACTACAATGTAGTAAATGTTCAAACAGTCCCAGTCCACCTTCTTGAACTAAACAATGACCTAAACGATCATAGAAGGCTCTACGAATACTATTTAGCATCACAGGGGTGACAGTTAGATATATTTCTCGAATTTTGAAACGCAGCTGCTCAAGGTTCACGGCGCGATTCTCCGGCAAACCATACATTTTTGATTTGCAATAACCCCAGAGAAAATAATCGTTGGGTGCAAGATCGGGAGAGCGTCACAGTATTGTAGCTCTCGACCCAGCAATGAGACGGTTCGGAAAAGTATTATTCAAATGGTCCAGAATGAAACCCGTATTATGGGCTGGACATCCATCTTATTGATACCATATTTCATTAAATCTATAGGACCAGATAATCTTTCAATTTCTGGAATTAACTGCCGTTGGCCCGTTGCAAAAGATCCAAATATTTTGGACCAGTTAAGTTAGCGTCCATGAAGTACAGCCCGATAATATGTTATCCACACAAACCGCTCCAGACAGTTACCTTTTGACGACGCTGGGCTCTAAGCTCAAAATACCTGTGTAAATTCTCCTAAGACCAATAACGGGTGTGACTAGGATTATGTCGACCATGGAGTTGAAATGTCGACTCATCTGTAAAGACAATTTTTCTAAGAAAATCTTGATCTTCATTTGCCTTATTAATGACAGTTTCACAAAAATCCATTCGCCTGATGTTGTCCTCAGGATCAATTTTTTGGGAGTTTCTTACTTTGTACGAACGATACTTTTTTTTTTCTGTGGCTTCTAACCGTCCTTGTACTTGAGTCAATATCCTGCGCAAGCGCACGAGTCGAAATAGTTGAAGTTTTGTTAACTAATGCCAACAACCAACAACATAATTTATTTGGCTTCTTGATCCTCATTATTTTCCGGGACGTCATTTCGTTTGGTTTCAGGGAGAAACACAACCGTATTTTTGAAAATTATTAACAACCCTGGAAACTTTTTACTTGGTTGTCGCCAGGTTAGCGCTAAATCGATTTGTCATTTTCTGACATGCGGACGCCTGCAAATTCGTCAGGTTACATCCTATATACCTAGTAGCTTGCCCCTCACTGTATAGGGTGTCCCACAATCAGCGTTACAGGCGATAACTTTCTTATTTTTAGAAATAAAAATTTGAAAAAAAAAAATGACTAATGGTTAGTTAAGCTCTCTTCAAAAATATAGAAAAATCTTCCCCTGACAAAATCATCCCCTATTTACAACCCTTCACTTTTTTTTTTTCAAATGGCACCCCTATTTTTTTTTTTTATTTTTGAGAAGTTCATGAAATTGCAAATTCAATGATATATGAAAAGTTTGTTTTTCTTTCGTTGGAAAATAAAATCAAAAATGAAAATAATGATAATGGGGTTGGTTCTATTTGAAAAAAAAGGCAACAGTTGTTTTTAGGGGATGAGTTTGTTAGGGAAGATTTTTTAAATATTCTTGAAAAGGGGTTAATTTGCACACAATTAATTTTTCTTTGTCATATTTTTATTTTTGTAGACAAAAATGTGATTGCCTGTATAAGACTAAGTATGGGACACCCATTTTTTTTCCCCAAAGAGACATGGAAAAACAAACTTTTTATGCACCATACAAATTTGTAATTTCATAAGCTTCTCAAAAATAAAAAAAAATAATAGGGGTGCCATTTGAAAAAAAAAAGTCAGAGTTGTAAATAGGGGATGATTTTTTGATATTTTTGAAGAGAGCTTAATTAGCCATTAATATTTTTTTTTGTTTCAAATTTTTATTTTTGAAAATAAGAAAGTTATGGCCTGTAACGTTGATTGTGGAACACCCTGTATATTGATATTTGGTTCAGCTGTTTTTACGCTATTTGAGTGTAAAAATGCATTTACATTTAAATTAAATTTTAAACTTGAATAAGGCGAAAACAGCTGAACCAAATATCAACATGACATGTGTATGGTATATTTGGAATCAGAAGAAAAAAAGAAATCATTCTAGCCAAAAATATACAGGGTTTTCCATTAAAAAAATGCAAGTGTTTGTCATTATGACAGTTGACACCTGTCATTTGCCCATTTTGACATGTGCGAAAAATAATAGAGATGGAACCCGACAACTTTTGTATTCAACTTTTGCTCTATATTTTTTTGTTTAAGTTGTAGAAGCTGCACTAATTATAAGGAACAGACCCTGTACAGGGTGGTCCAAATTCGATACTTTCTTATGGAAACACCCATCATTTTTAGAGATAGAAAAAAATGGACCCCGCACTCTGAGGCTCAAATTTCATGAAATCTTGATTGGTGCAAACCGCATTTTGATATCTTCAACCGTTTAGCCGCTAGGGGGCAATTCTCGATTCTGAGCAATACTGTAAAGCCTCCAGAACTTTTTTGTTTATAAAAATAATTCGTTTCAGTACAGACTTTCTAGAAGCCCTTTTTCAATCAGAACTCACTGACGTTCTCAGTTTTCTTCTATTTGGCTTCGATTTCGAGATATTGACAAAAATACGATTTTTTTCAATAGGCGACATCCCATATATTAATAGCTCATTAGAAAGCTCTGCTTTTGCTGATTTCAATGATATAAAGTTTGATAGGTTTATCTCTAACGGTTTTCGAGAAAAAAAAAAGAAGGACTTTATCTCTGTAAGGAAACTGAAAAAGGTCTCCTAACCGTTGTTTCTTATGACAAAAACCGAAATAATTTTTTATCTCGAAAACTGTTAAAGATTAACTTTTTTTTTTGTATTATTGAAATCAGCAAAAGCAGAGCTTTCCAATGAGCTATCAATATATAGGGTGTCCTATTGAGAAAATTCGGATTTTGGTCAATACCTCAAAATCGGAGCCAAATAGAAAAGAACTGAGAACGTCCCTGAATTCTGCTTAAAAAAGTGCTTTTAGAAAGTCTTTGCAGAAATGAATTATTTTCATAAACAAAAAAGTTATGGAGGTTTCACAGTATTGCTCAAAATCGAGAATCGCCCTCTAGCGGCTAAACGGTTGAAGATATCAAAATGCGGTTTGCACCAATCAAGATTTCATGAGATTTGAGCCTTGGAGTGGGGGGTCAATTTTTTTCTGTTTCAAAAAATAAAGGATGTTTCCATCAGAAAGTGTCCAATTTGGACCAACCTGTACATAGAGGAAAACTCGGTTGCTATTGGAGTTAGAAGGATGCGGTTTGCGCGAACGTCGGCTAATTTTTTGTCAAGCGAAAGATGTTGTCAATAGAATTATCATCGCCCTTTTTGTTTTTCAGATGCACGGTGTTTTTGAAAATGTTGCATTTTGGGACACTCCTTGTATCTCAGCTCTCTCATAAGTGATCGAAAGATAACAACTTATAGGACTTTATGTCTCTGAGGAAAATACATAATAAGGCACAACATAATTCTATTTCTCGAAAACTGTTATAGATAAACCTGTCGAACTTGATATCATCATTAATATCAACAAAAGCAGAGCTATCCAATGAGTAATTATTATACAGGGTCTCTCATTTGAATAAAATGTATGTTTGGTTTATAATTTAAAGCTTATCACTTCCAGAGAGAAACTGACTACGCTACTGAAATCTACCCCTAATAACACAGTAACATCGCAGAAACATTCCAGAAACATCCATCAGAGATAATGAAGACGTCCCTGGGAGGTCCCTATTTTCCTGGGGACATCCCTGGGATGTTGCAGGCAACAGCCGTGTCATCATTTGCGATGTCCTATAAACATCTCTCAGGGATGTTTCTAAGATGACGCGGGATGTACCTAATACATCCGGGGCAGGTGTAAGAAACATCCTCTATATGTTTCTAGTATGACTTTAATAGGTGCCCTAATAACACAGTAACATCGCAGAAACATTCCAGAAACATCCATCAGGGATAATGAAGACGTCCCTGGGAGGTCCCTATTTTCCTGGGGACATCCCTGGGATGTTGCAGGCAACAGCCGTGTCATCATTTGCGATGTCCTATAAACATCTCTCAGGGATGTTTCTAAGATGACGCGGGATGTACCTAATACATCCGGGGCAGGTGTAAGAAACATCCTCTATATGTTTCTAGTATGACTTTAATAGGTGAATGAATTTTAGGATT